GATCCTATTGGTGTTTAAAATATCGGTGGCATAGCTTCCAGCATCAGAGCAACCTGTGTGCAAGACACCACAGGATGACAAACTGAAAGACGAGTTGTGGAAAAAAATCTTAATTATACCCCTTGTTTTGAGCACTATTAGTAATATTGTGTCAGCTTACCAAAATAAGTAGTTATTTACTTAGTTTTCATTTAGTTATGTGCTCCCATACTAGTGAAAGGTGAAACCTAGTTCAGTAGTGCCAGAACTGGACTAGTCTTTAATTGACAAAAATGAATAAAAGCAGCAATGGGAAGTGATCAATCTTACAGCTACAGGTAGGACATTTAGTACTACTTGCATGTTTCAGATATCGAGCTGCGCTATTTAGTTCATAAATCATAAATATCAATAACAATTGGAAAATAAAAGTGTCTCCTTCATTCTTGTCAGTATTTTAAAAATATATAAATAACCAAATAAATCATGAACACTGCCCAGAAGAGAGCAGAGTAGGCTGATACACTGAGCAGAACCTCTGCAACCAAGACATGGCAGAGCAACTGAAGCAATGCAGATGGTGATCCTGGAGTCCTGCGCTTCAGAAGATACTACAGAGAGGTGGATTGAGTGCCAATGGAAGAGGAAGCTGAACAGGAGCTACAAGACAGGAAAAACAACGAGAGGTTGTCAGCTGGCATGGAGCGGTACAGCCATCTTGAGCTTTTGTGAGCAACTGTTGATTCAGTGGCCTGCAGGCATAGGATGTGGCTAGAGGTTGGCAGCTAAGGGGCTGCGATTCTCCCTTATTGTGTGCCCTCCTGGTAGCCAGCGGCATACCCAGTGTCTAACCTTGTTAACCCATTGGCTGGTGACACTGCTTACTACAAAGCTTCAACTTAGCCTGGTGTTGGGTGTGCCACTTCTATTTCTGGAGGCATGGCATGTAAGCCTGCCCTGAACTACACTACACAGACAGCAAACAGAATTGTGTTCACACTTCCAGTCTCTATCACATCCACCAGTACGCATGTGGTGAGTCCCTGAGAACATACAGTCATCAATTAAATATGAATAAAATGACACCACAGTGTCTCAGGGAAAACAGACATTTCAACAAGACAGAATGCCTCTGATAGTGACCAAAGTACAGTCAGAAAATCTAATCCCAGAAATGGTATCAGAACTACTTGATAAAGAATTCAAAAGAATTATATTTAGGTATCTTTAATGCATTGATAGCGTAGTGGTTACGAATCGGGCTGTGAACCTTAAGGTCAGCGGTTCGAAACTACCAGCTGCTCTGCGGGAGAAAGATGAGGCTTTCTACTCCCGTAAAGATTTACACCCTCGGAAACCCTGTACAGGGTCGCTATGGGTCGGAACCGACTCGACGGCACTTAACAACAACAACAATGCATTGAGAGGAAGATGAAACAAGAAGAACACAGGAAAACTTGAGAAGAATTAAAATACTGTAAGACAAAGCTGACAAAACAATTAGAAACCATATAAGAACAGCATTAGAAAGTTTGAAGATTAATGCTGAGACATCAGAAATAGTATATTGAAAGGGCAGGAGAGTACAATTTAATCAGTGGATTAAGGTTGAATTACTGGACTTAAAGATAAATCTCTCAATATTGGTCTGCATGTGCTGGATAACAAAGTCAGTTTGAACAGTCAGGTTGGCAATTCAAACCCACCAGCCTCTTCTCAGAAACCCTATACAGGCTCGCTGTGAGTCAGAACTGACTCGACAGCATTTAACAACAACAAAGGAACAATCAGAAAAAATAATTTAAAAATCTAAAGGAAGCTTAAGATTTATGTGGGACACTATCAAGAGGAATAATTTATGTGTGATTTTCCAGACAGGAAGAGAAAAAACTCATAGAGAAAATTGTCCAAGAGTGTTGGAAGAAAATTTCCCTAATGTGAAAGACAAGAAGATAGCCATTCAAGAAATTAAATGAACTCCAAACAGAATAGACTCTAAAATAAAATCACTGAGATTTATTTGCTGGGGCCAGCTGCTGCATCCAACAATCAGCTACACTCCGCAGCCCGCATGGAGAAATTAAACCCAAGTAGGGGCGATGGGAAACCTTGTACAGGGTCGCTATGGGTCGGAACCGACTCGACGGCACTTAACAACAACAACAACAGGGGCAATGGGAGATTAGAAATAAAAGGAAGACACAAGACACAATTGAAATAATTAAAGTTGGGACCAGGTGGGACTAAGCACTCTGATGGAGATATTGCAGCACAGACCTAGGCAGCAAGTTTATAACATACACAGCTCAAGGGGAGGTACTTGAGGGAGGGTAAGGAGTAAAAGACCATCTTGTACTGAAGGAGCCAGCAGTAGCAGAATTTTATCAGAAAAACTGTAACTTGTGGTAGCTAGCTGGAACACTGAATAGGGCAGCTAGAAGGTTGCGCAGCCTGAGCTGAAGGACATAGCTAAATACAAGGAAAGACCTTGCAAGTTCCCTGTCACCTGAAGCAGCCCTGCAAGTTCCTTGGGTGGGTTGGATGGGGAGGGGAGCTTGACTTGGATGCAGCCAGAGTTTCTGGACCACAATTGTTCAGTTGCAATCCTTCACTTAAACTACCCCAAGTCAGGGACTTGTGGCTCAGCTGCTCCCAACACTTACTATCAACCATTTCAAGAGGTAGCATATGATCAAGAGCCAATGATACTGAAGGAGGAAGTCCAAAGTACATTGAAAGAATTGGCAAAGAACAAGGCACCAGGAACTGATGGAATAAAAATTGAAATCTTTCAAGAAACTGAGGCGGCACAAAAGGCACTCACTCATCTATGCCAAGAAACTTGGAAGACAACTGTTTGGCCGACAGATTGGAAGAGATCTGTATTTGTGCCCATTCCAAAGAGAGGTGACCCAACGCAATGCGGGAATCATTGGAAAATATCTTTGATATCCCATGCTAGTAAAGTTTTACTAAAGGTAATACAGAAACAGCTACAAGCATACATTGACAGAGAACTTCCAGAGGTTCAAGCTGGATTCGAAAGAGGACATGAACCAAGAGATATCATTGCTGATGTCCGATGGATCTTGGCTGAAAGTAGAGAATGTCAGAAAGATGTTTACCCATGCTTTATTGACTACGCAAAGGCTTTTGATTATGTGGATCATGACAAGCTATGGACAGCATTGCAAAGTATGAGTATTCCGAAACACTTAATTGTGTTCATGAGGAATCTGTACATGGACCAAGAGGCAGTTGTTTGAACAGAACATGAAAACACTGAATGATTTAAAATTAAGATATACGGCAGTATTATATTCTTTCACTATACTTATTCAACCTGTATGCTGAGAAAATAATCTGAGAAGGTGGGTTATGTGAAGAAATACGTGGCATCAGGATTGGAGGAAGACTCATTCACAACCTGGGGTATGCAGATGATAACAACCTTGCTTGCTGAGAGTGAAGAGGACCTAAAACATTTACTGATGAAGATCAAAGAGCACAACTTTCGGTATGGATTGTATCTCGATGTAAAGAAAACAAAAATCCTCACCACTGGACCAATAAACAACATTCTTATTAATGGAGAAAAGATTGAAGTTGTCAAGAACTTCTTTCTTCTTGGATCTACTATCAACTTGACTCATGGAAGCAGTAGTCAAGAAATCAAACAACGTATTGCATTAGGCAAATCTGCTGCACAAGACCTTTTTAAAGTGTTGAAGAGCAAAGATGTCAGCTTGAGGACTAAGGTGCACCTAACCCAAGTCATGGTATTTTCAGTAACCTCATATGCATGCGAAAGCTGGACAGTGAATAAGGAAGACCAAAGAAGAATTGATGTTTTTGAGTTATGGTGTTGGAGGAGAATATTGAAAGTACCATTGGCTGCCAAAAGAACCAACAGATCTGTGTTGGAAGAAGTGAGACCAGAGTGCTCCTTGGAGGCCAGGATAGCCAAACTTACTTTGGATATACTGTCAGGAGGGAGCAGTCACTGGAGAAGGATCTCCTGTTTGGTAGGGTGGAGGGTCAGAGAAAAAGAGGAAGACCCCAGTGAGATGTATTGGCAACATGGCAGAATCAATGAGACATGGTAGAATCAATGGGCTCAAGCATGGCAACAATAGTGAGGTTGGCCCAGGATCAGGCAGTGTGTTGTTCTGTTGTGCATAAGGTCGCTATGAGTCGGTACGGACTCATTGGCACCTAACAACAACAATAGACTTACTATAATTAAACTTTTTAACTAAAAACTAGGAAAGAATTCTAAGGGCAGCTCGGAGAAACTTCAAGTAACCTACCAAGGAGAACTAATTAGACTAAGCTCTGATTTCTCAACAGAAACTATATGGGGAAGAAGATAGTGGGCTAACATATATAAAATTCTGAAAGAAAAAAAATTGCTAACCAAGAAATCTTCTACCCAGCAAAATTGTCCATCAACTATGACAACAAAATTAGGACATTTCCAACTAAACAGAAATTAAAAGAATTTGCCAAAGCCAGGCAAAAATACTAAAGGCAGTTGTTTGTTTGGACAGAGACTCATCAACAGCAGACAAAGACCTGAGAACCATACCCCTAACACTAAACAGAGGCCTAGACCTAGCCAAGATCTACTCATAATCCAAACCTAACTTCTTACTCCTATACGGCCTCCTCCCAAAAGAAAGAAAACTAAAATACAGCCCAGTTTAAAAGAATTCACTGAAAGACAGGTGAATATCATATTTTTAATAGAAGATATAAGCCTTAAGTGGCAATTGTGGTACTTGGTTTGTATTCTGCCTACCAGCACAACGCTTGGCAAATTTAATCCTTGTTTCTCGTCCAACTTTCCCCCACTTCCATCCTAGCACAGACTCTGTAAAAAGAATCTATATATTCACAGCCCATTTTGAAAATCAGTACATAATAGTCTCTTATTCCATCTCTGATTTTTAAACAATAAACTAGGGGACCATACTCTGAGAATCTCTGATTTAAGGAATTTTTTTCCTTTATGTCAATAGATTAAAGAACAAAAAATTGTTGTGGATGAACTTTCTAACCTGAAGAAAAACAGGGTAAGTGAATTATATATATAACTTATTCACATTTAATATTAAAATTTTAGAGAACTCAACATAATTTTTCATCAGCAAATTGCAAGATTGAAAATATGTCAAAATATATATTATTCATGAACTATAAATATATTTTAATATAGTTCATATCTGTTTATATTTGTGTGTGTATGTACATATGTTGAAGATGATTTTTCCCCATTACCTTTGGACCAAAGGATGCTAAGGGTACTTTGGTATCTTACAATAGGAGTCATTAATGATATTTTATACTTGAATTTGGTATTTTCTTTTGTAATATATTAACTTTATATACATGGAGAAGAGAGGGAACTATGTCTGTAAATGAATATGAATAATTGTTAGATAGAAAAAAAAAGATACAATTCTTATCACCACTCCCCCCCGAGAAAAGCAAAAAGCAATAACGTCAGTCTTTCAACTGCTTAATATGATTGTTTAATGTTTTCATGAGTAAGATATTGTCAAAAATTACATTTAAAACTCAGGAAAAATTACTTTGATCTTTCTAAAGCATTTAAAACACTATTTTATAACAGTTCGGACATTTCTGGTATGGCACTATAGGATCAGCACCGGACTGCAAACCAGAAGGTGGGCAGTTCAACCCCAGCTGCTGCTCCTCAGATACCTTATATAGGGTCACTAGGAATCAGAACTGACTTGAAGGCACTTAACAAAACAGACATTTCTAAAACTGCCTTTGAGGAATATTAAAAGTTAAGACAAAACTGATAGCAACTTTTGGAAGGCTCAGAGGCAGAATGTATTAGAGTTTTAAAACTCTGTTAACAGTGTGACCAAGTGTACTATTTATAGGAATTGATACTTAGAAAAGAATCCTGTATGTGTATGCACAATGATGTAATTACAGGGATATTTATGACACATTGATTTTATAACATTGAAAAGTTGATAGCATGGTAAAAATCTAAGATTTGAGAACTGAGCAAATCAAACTAACATTTTATATCCATACAGTAATACTATAAAAGAACAGTTATTAATATAAGAAAAGATATTCACAATACATTGTTGTTGTTAAGTGCCTTGGAGTCAATTCCAAGTCATAGCAACCCTTTACGGGGTTTCCAAGAAGCAACCGATGGGTTTGAATTGCTGACCTTGTGGTTAGCAGTCCAGTGCCTATCCTACAGTGCTACACCAGGAGTCCTTCATCATCTATTAGTCATTGATAAAAGCAAATTAGAAAAATGTACACATAATAGGAAACTTTTTGGTTAAAAGAAAAATAATATATGTGCAAGGAGAAGAAGAGTTTTGCTTCTGTTAACAGAAGCCATTTCTGGGTAATAAAATAAAATGATGGTCATTTATTTTGTTTGTTTATATTTTCTGAAATACTATACATATGTTATAAAACTGTAAGAATAAGTGGGGGTTATTCAAACTTTTGACAGCTGTTTGGATCAAATTTTGATATTAGCTTGAATTGTGTTTTACAGAAAGTCTATAAACAGCAGCAAAACAGCAACATATTCTTTCTTGCAGACCGAACAGAAATGCTTTCTGAAAGCAAAAGTAAGTTTTTTCAGTATCTACTATACAAATCCACAGAAGAACTTTTTAGACATTTATGGCGGTGTCTAAGTCATACTATCTAGATATTATTGTTTAAATATATCTACCTAAAGATTGGGATGGAGAAGTATTTAATTTGCTTGTTAATAAAATTAATATAATAGTTTGATTTTCTTTGAGTCTTCCAAAAATTAATCCATGGAGAAATAACTGGTGATTTGCTTCTATAAAAATTACAACCTATGGGGCAGTTCTACTGTCACATGAGCTTTCTATGAGTCAGAATCAACTTTTTGGCACACAAGATGTAAAAACTACATTTAGTTAGAAAGCAAGAGTTATCAACGTATATTTTAAGAGTTTCCATCCATCTAGGTATGAACAGCTGTTTGACAACTTTCCAACTTTGACTTTGTGTGAATTACTGTGAGCTTCCAAACTCTTGTGAGAATTAAGTAATATGGTTTATCTAAAGTGGTTAGTCTAGGGTCTGGGCCAAAATAAGCACTCAGTAAATAGAAACTATTTTTCTAAAACAAACATTTTTATTAATGACTTGTGAATTGTTATTGGCACTAGCAATAGTTCACATACTCAGAAAATATAATGTTAAATAATCTGTGGTACTCTATCAATTACAAGACAAATAAATATTCAGGAAGTTTCACTTAATAATTCTTCCTCTCCTCCTCCCACACAGATATATTGGATGAACTGAAAAGAGAATACCAAGAAATAGAAAACTCAGAGAAGACTAAAATCAAGAAATAGTCAACTTAATTTCACATAAAAATGTGTGGCATTTTTTGTTCCGTAAACTTTTCTGCTGAGCATTTCAGCAAAGGTTTGAATGAGAATTTACTATATAATCTTAAGCAACGTGGACCCAGTAGTAGTAACCAGTTGTTAAAGTCTGATGTTAACTACCAGTGTTTATTTTCTGGACACATTCTTCACTTGAGAGGTGTTTTGACTGCCCAGCCTATGGAAGATGAAAGAGGCAATGTGTTCCTGTGGAATGGAGAAGTATTTAATGGAATAAAAGTCACAGCTGAGGATAATGATACTCAAATTATATTTAATTCTCTTTCCTCTAGTAACAATGAATCTGATATTTTGTCACTTTTCTCAGCAATCCAGGGACCTTGGTCTTTTATATATTATCAAGCATCTTGTCATTATTTATGGTTTGGTAGGGACTTTTTTGGTCGACGTAGTTTGCTTTGGCATTTTAGTAATCTTGGTGAGAGTATCTGCATCTCTTCAGTTGGTACCCAAACATCTGGAGAGGCCAATCAGTGGCAAGAAGTTCCAGCATCTGGAATTTTCAGAATTGATCTCAAGTCTACTTCCATTTCTAAATGTGTGATATTAAAATTATATACTTGGAAATATAATTCTAGGGAGAATGTTAGCAAAGAATATGTTAATAGCCTGACTCAAATTACAGCAGACTTGCCTAGGTTTGTATCAGTGGAAACAAATGAAGACAAACTATATCTGGAAAAACCTGTTGTTCCTTTAAACATGAAGTTGCCACCAGCTCCATTTGAAACTCATTGCACTAGCATTTCCAGAGTCTTACCTACAGGAGAAACACTGCAAGTCTATCTTACTGACAAACACATGAAAAAAGTGGTTCAGCAGTTCATTGATGTCCTGAGTATCTCAGTTAAGAGACGTGTCTTATGTTTACAAAGGGAGGAAAGCTTGACACCAAATAAAGTTTTGAACATGTGTGGTAGGAAAGCAAACATTGCAATTCTGTTTTCTGGGGGCATTGATTCAATGGTTCTTGCAACCCTTGCTGACCGTTATATTCCAATTGATGAACCAGTCGATCTTCTTAATGTGGCTTTCATGACTAAAGAAAAGAATATACCAACTAGTTTTAACAACAAAAAAAATAAGCAGAAGAAACATCACTGTGAAATAGCTCCTGAAGAATTATCTGAGAATCTCGTTGCCACCACCAATGATCAATTTGATAAGCAATTCAATGTACCAGATCGAATCACAGGAAGAGCGGGACTAAAAGAACTACAAATTGTCAGCCCTTCCCGAGTTTGGAATTTTGTTGAAATTAATGTTTCTTTGGAAGAACTACAGCAATTAAGAAGAACCCGAATTTGCCAATTAATTCACCCCTTGGATACAGTTCTGGATGACAGCATTGGTTGTGCAGTCTGGTTTGCTGCTCGAGGAATTGGTTGTGTCGTGACACAGGATGAGGTGAAATCCTATCGGAGCAATGCAAAGGTATTTCTGCTTATAAGGACCATCTGAGAAGTAGATTTGATTGTTAAACTGCATTTAGGTTGTAAGAATATAGCATATTACATTTAAACTATAGCACATGCATCTGTATTTTTAAAAATTGAGTATAATTTTTATGCTTTGTCATATATTTGTTTCTTCAGAAATGATTTTGGGGGTTATAATTTTTTTTTAAGCTTTTGATTTATCCTGGTTGTTTCCCTTACTGTAGAGTAGGTAACATTTTTCATGTGAATTTCTTTCAACCTTAATATAGGTCGTTCTTACTGGAATCGGTGCAGATGAACAACTTGCAGGTTATTCTCGCCATCGTTTGTGCTTTCGGACACATGGGTTAGAAGGATTGAATAAGGAAATAGAAATGGAACTAGGTCGAATTTCTTCTAGAAATCTTGGTCGTGATGACAGAGTTATTGGTGATCATGGAAAAGAAGCAAGGTAATTCTGACTGTCAACTGGAGTGCTGGGTATTTTCATAGAAAGAATAGACTGTGTAGAGAATTTTAGATTGCTTTTTGCTTTGGAGACTGCTCAGATGAGTAACCATAGGAGTAGTGATATCTTGGTCCCGTGTTAACAAATGTAGACAGTTAAAAACAAAGCTAGAGGGAGGCTAAGCTAGCAGTTGCTTTCCAGAGTTGAATCTCCAAGGAATATCTTTTCACCGATTTTCAAAGGTGATATAATAATAATGATTGATTTCAAAACTAAAATGAAAACAGTTTGTAAAAGTAAAACAATGAAATACCAATAGAAATTGTTTAAAGGGTTTTATTTTGTTTTAAATGTTTACTTTCCTCCCAATAAAGGGTATAGCTTTCTCTTCCAATTTTATAAACCTGGCTGTACCTCTGTGGAATTTCTGTATTGATTTGAATGTTGTTAAATGCTGTCAAGTCGGTGCCGACTCACAGCGACCTTATATAGGGTTTCCTCAGAGTGACGGGTAAGTTGAAACCTTGCTGTTGAAACCAACCTTGTGGTCAAGTGCTTATCCTACAGTGCTGCTTGCATTGCCCTGTATATTTCTGGAACACAGTGTAGCCATACATTGCAGATCATCTAAACTTTTCCATGAAGCCAATGCACTTTTGTACGTTTTTTTTGTTAAATTTTGAATTTATTTGTACAAAAGTGCTTCCAAATGCTTGCGAAAAATAGAATTAAAAGACTGGAATTTTTCCAGGAGCTTTTTGATGCCCCCTCATTTGTACAATTTTGTACAAATTTTGATGACAGTAAACAAGTATTTGAATAAAACTTTTTGAAGTACAAAGGAAGATGTGTCATTTGGTTATGAAGAACAGACATTGTCCAAATAGTTTATTAAGTGGTGGCTTATTTCAAGGGTACAAACATACATAAATAGCACAGATGGAGCCTCATGAGGATTGGAACATCTTGCTACACCTACTACTCTCTCTGAGGCTTGTTGTTTTTCTCTTGACTCTTTTACTTTCTTTCCACTGAACCTTAGCTGGCTGTATACAGTTGCCATTCTTATATTGCCATTGTGACATGTACAGAAGTTTGGACTGCTATGATTCCTTTATAACAAATGCCACATTACATAGTCTATACATTTTTCCATTTGCTGCATGTGAGAGAGAGAGTGAGATTCATCCATTAGCTCAATTAAATTAGATTAAAAGCAGTTAATTTTAACAACTCCTTATAAAAAATCTTATGATACCCTCAGGTAAAAAAGTATAAAAATAATGTTTAAAATAGCTTATACAGAATTGTAATTAACAAACACCATTATAATGGCTAAATTCTAAATAACTAATTTATTATGCATCTTGGAATATGTAACAATAATCTGTTAGTAAAGTCTATTTAAATTATCTTTTTCAATTAATTTATTTTTATAAAATATATTTTATAGTAAGTAAGTGGTTACACGAATCAGGCTGCGAACCGCAAGGTCAGCAGTTCGAAACTATCTGCGGGAGAAAGATGAGGCTTTCTGCTCCCGTAAAGATTTACAGCCTCAGAAACCCTGTTCAGGGTCGCTATAGGTCGGAACCGACTCGACGCACTTAACAACAACAACAATTATCTGTAATAAAATGGAAACCCTGTCATAACTGTTGTACTTTGAGGAATTTGGACAGGGATTGTTTTAAGCAATAAAAAGGACAAAATTTTGTTGGAAATTAAGAAAGCTAGAGGATCAGAAAGTTGTTTGTTTTTTAAATTCAGTATTTTGTTCTATATTACACCAATTTATTTCTATTTAAATAATTTTGATACCATAAAGTTTTACCATAAGTGTTTCACAAATGCAGCATTGTGTAGCTCTTCTTAGCTCTCAAGTTCAATTTCTTTAGATAAGATAAAGAACAGACTCTGATTGAATAGTTGACTAAAAAACTATGCTTGTTTACAAGGCATCCTCAAAGACACTATGTGAAACAATCTGAAATTATTTCTTGATACCATAGACCTAATTTATGTATTGAGGTTTAGAATATTTTGTAGCAAATAAAATTTTGTAGTACAATTATTCATGTTGAGAAACTTTTAAGTTTTTTAATGTGGTTAAGCTTTAACTGTAAAATTATGAGTCACTAGAATATTTTTATTTGAGAAAACTATGACTGTTTTTCTCTGAAAATCCTTGGGTGATAAAAATGATTTACTCAGTATTACTAACCTAAAGGTTGGTGGTTCACACCTACTTAGTGGCACCATGGAAAAAAGACTTGGCGATTGTTTGCATAAAGATTACAGCCAAGAAAACCCTACTGAATAATTCTACTCTGCAGTACATGGGTTTGCCATAAATTGGAATTGACTCACAGCAAGTTTAGTGTTTGGAGTGCCCTCTAACTAGGAAACAACCTTTACAGGGTCGCCATGGGTTGGAACCAACTCAAGGACACTTAACAACATTAATTAACATAAATGTTACCGTTGAATAAAATGAATCAAGAAATACTCATTACACATGGATTTTTATAATGATAGTCTATCTATCTATTTATTTTAGATTTCCTTTCCTGGATGAAAATGTTGTCTCCTTTCTAAATTCCTTGCCAATTTGGGAAAAGGCAAATTTGACTTTACCCCGCGGAATTGGTGAAAAACTACTTTTGCGCCTTGCAGCTGTGGAACTTGGTCTTACAGCCTCTGCTCTTCTGCCAAAACGAGCCATGCAGTTTGGATCCAGAATTGCAAAAATGGAAAAGAATAATGAAAAAGCATCTGATAAGTGTGAAAGGCTCCAAGGAAATTCCTTAGAAAATCTTTCTATTGAAAAGGAGATTACAGTATAATATGGTTTCACATTTGCTACTGATAGTTATGTAAAAATAAAATACTCTGTTGTTTTATTGTTATATAATTTCATGGTTTTAAAATTCTTTAGTCCAACTGTGTAACTTCTTAGTAGCCGCATCCAGATATAACTCAATCTGTTGTTACTGCTGTTGTCAGGGACCATGGTGAGAAAACCTGGGACCTTGGAACATGGAGTGGGAACATCTGAATGAACGTCTCTGAGGGTTTTGGCTCTTCATACTCTTCTCAGCCCTCAGAGGTGGCCCAGAACCCCTTAGTGTTATCTAGCACTTCCCTTGTGCTTGAAGATAATTGCTAAAACCCCTCCCTGACAAGGCAACAAGTACCTCCCTCCGGAACTGCTTTCACTACCTTTGCTGACTACCAGATCAATAACTAGGGTTAAGTCTGAGCATAAACTTGGGAAGAAAAGAAAAGATTATCACTAAAGAAGCTGTAAATAGTAGCTACCATCCTGGTAGGGGCCAGAGTACTCCTGGGGGATTTGGATTTTGAGCGTATTTGATCTGGTGGCCCAGAATATAAAATTGGTTAAGCAAGGAATCTTTGATTTAGGAAAACTTTTTTGGAAGATAGAATTTAACACCCTGACAGGGACACCAGGGCAAATTATAGTAGGGTGGCTCTTAAAAGCCCTGGATAAAGTGATGGCCAGTATTGAATGAAGTTGCCCTGAAAATGGTAGAGAAGTGAATAAAGAGGCTTAGGGAAGGCTTAGGGTATGCTGGAATGGATACATATGAGAGCAAAAAGCCCACGGACGATTACACTCGGCAGAAGGGGTGGAGGGCATGGCGTTTATCAAGGTAGTTAGGACTGCACTGAAGAGGGGCACCCGCATCTCTAGGAAGTTCAGTGTGGGCTCTTCTCTGCAAGCCAGGTTTGAGAGGCAGTCACAGCTGGACTTTTTAATGTCACACCCCAGTTGCTATGATAGTTCACAAAGTAGAGATAGCCAAGGAAATGGTTAATGGAGCATAGCATCCATAGAAACAAAATGGGCTGCTAACAAGGGTACTTTACATCTATAATCAAAAAAAGAATGGAGCAGTAGGAGACTGAGGGTGGTTTCCCCAATTCAAAGTGATGATCCCTTACTCAGTTCTCAGACCTCAGCCAAATTTTAGATCCAGAATCCACTGGTTGAAGAGGCGGCTGGATCTCAAGAGGAATATCCTCAACAAGGATTTCCCCTGGTCTTACCCTAAGTACATACAACTACGTAGGTGATTGCCTTGTAGAAAGGGTAATCTAATTAGGCAAGTAGACAAGGAAATGTCTAGACATTTCAAGTACTCAGGGGCACAGATACATGTCTGAGTATGTTTGCCATTCCTCAACCTATGCTACAGCCTGATAATTTAGGATGTCTGAGTCACAGACAAATCCCAGACAGCATAGTTAATATCAGCTAGGGAACCACTTCACAGCAAAGGAAGAAGAGGAATGGGCCTGTGATGAAGTTCTATGCTAACCCTTAAATAAATGAACAACGCTTTCCTGAGACTTGAGAACTCTGGGTGTATCAACAAAAAACTTACGTAATTATATGTGTATATGTAGATTCGTAAAACTTCTAAAAGAAAAATGACATTTGGACATCTCTTACCCTAAAAACAACAATCAAATTTACGCACATAGCAGCTAAAACATGATAAAATTCTGTCCCCAATCACCAAGAACCTTCATGTCGCTAAATTTTAATGGAAGAGTTTCAGTTCTCATCTCCCCTGATGTAGCAGCAACATCCAATGAATGACCTTGGCCACTCCCTTATTCTTGAAACACTTCTCTTGGCTCCTGTCATCAGTCTTGATTTTCCTCCTGCCCTCCTGTCTCCTCTGTTTTTGCTGGTTCCCTCTATCTGGCTTATGAATGCTCAATTTCTCAGGTCTCCATCTTAGGCTTTCAACTCAGTATTCTGTATTCTGTCCTTTGGAGATTTCAACCATTCTCATGGCTTAAATAGTCAGGAAAGCAAATGAAGTATTAAATTAGACAAATCTACTTGCTGCATAAGACCTCTTTAAAGTGTTCAAGAGCAAAGATAATCAATTTGAGAACTAAAGTAGGACTGACCCACGGTGATGATATTTTCGTAGCCTCATATGCATGTGAAAGGTGGACAATGAATAAAGACCATAGGAATTTTCATGCATTTGAATTATGGTATTGGAGAAGACTATTGAAAATACCATGGACTTCCAGAAGCACAAACAAATCTGTGTTGAAATTCGTACAGTCAGAATGCTCCTTAGAGGCCAGGGTGGTCAGACTTCCTCTCACATACTTGGGACATATTATCAGAAGGGACCAATCCCTGAAGGAGGATGTAATGCTTGGTAAAGCGGAGGGTCAGTGAAAACCAGGAAGAACCCTAAAGAGAAATATTGGCACAGTGCCTGAAGCAATAGGCTTAAACGTAACAATTGTGAGAATGGCACAGGACCAAGAAGTGTGCATACGGTTTCTATGATTTGGATACGACTTGACAAGCACCTAACAGCAATAACATAGCAAATACTATAAACTTGCTTGAATGTATATATTTAACCCAAATTGCCATTCTTTGTCTAGATTTGTGTGTATGAGGCATATCTGACATCTCTATTTGGATCTCTCACAGGCACTTCAGTATGAACTCAATCTTGCCCTGACTCCTTATTACTCAGAAATGTGTCACCTTGACTCCATCTTGTTCCTTAACACCTTCCCACTCACAGTTTAACATGTCTCTACCTCCTTCACATTTCTCACATTCATTCACAGTCCACTTCCAGTGCCGCCAACCTACCCTGACCTAGCATCCATTTACAGGAACCTAATTTCAGCTTTGCAGTCCTGCTGTGGCGCTGTGTGTTAAGATGCCAGACTGCAAAGCTGTTTGAACTGCAAGGTTGGCAGTTCAAGCTGCTGCTTCTTGGAAACCTTATACAGGGTTGCTGACAGCACCTAATAACAACCATCTCAGCTTTTAGAATATTGTTCAAAATTCTTAACTCAGGAACCTACGAGATATTCCCCTCACTTCCTCCTTCATTTTGTGGTATTATCTCAATGCAAAATGTTTTGTTCAATTTCTCAAAACTTTCAACTTTCTTCTCACTTAGATGATCTTTTCTCATCTGCTGTTCCCTATCCCTGGAAAAACTGTACAGGATCAGCTTAAAATGTCTCTTCCTCAGAGTAGCCTTCCATTCCCAGATCTAGTCTACTTCTTGTCATGTACTCTCATTGCATCCTAAATTTATAAAATTGTTAAATAATATATGATTATTTATTTAAGTTCCTTTAGATTCTTTGTGTGTGCTCTGTTTTCCACAGCAGGGGTTCTACAAATGATTGTTGAATGAATGAATGATGACACAGAGTTTCAACTCAGGGATACCTCAACTTCCGGTTCTTTCACCTTTGCTACTCTCACTGGCTCTGGTAGCGTAGTGGTTACGAATCGGGCTGCGAACCTTAAGGTCAGCGGTTCGAAACTACCAGCCGCTCCGCGGGAGAAAGATGAGGCTTTCTACTCCCGTAAAGATTTACACCCTCGGAAACCCTGTACAGGGTCGCTATGGGTCGGATCCGACTCGACGGCACTTAACAACAACAACACTCTCACTGGAGTCCTGGTGTGGCGCTGTTGGTTAATGCGCCAGACTGCAAAGCTGTTTGAACTGCAAGGTTGGCAGTTCAAGCTCACCAGCTGCTGCTCGGAAACCCTATACAGGGTCGCTATGGGTCGGAATCCACTCGACGGCACTTAACAACAACAACTCTTTTACTGGAAGGAGCTCTGGTAGCGTAGTGGTTACCAGTCGGGCTGCCAACCTCAAGGTCAGCAGTTCAAAACTACCAGCGGTTCCGCCGGAGAAAGACGAGGCATTCTGCTCCCATAAAGATTTACAGCCTCGGAAACCCTGTGCAGGGTCACTATGAGTTAGAACGGACTCAGTGGCACTTAACAACAACTCTTTTACTGTTGTAGTACTGACGAATAGTGAGAGTAAGGAAATCATAGACAATTGCGGTGCCTAGTGCTTGCTACTGGGCTGAGTGACCGGAAGCACTGCGGCCTCAGCTCACACACAGCTGTCTGCGGAAGTTTGCCCTCCTCCACCGGCCTCCAGCTCCAGGCCCAACGGTTTCAACCCTCGCCCTGTGGCACGAACAGCAGGCTCCCAGAAGGGCCAAACAGGCTTCTCGCCCCAGGAAAGTGCTCACATCCTCCCTGGAGCCTGATCCTCGCCCATCCGGAAAGCCTGACCACTAACCCAGTGAAAAGGAGAGTGATTTCAGCAAAGAAAACTGGACCCTAGGAGCACTCTGGGCACCAGCGTGGATGCTTCTTTCCTCACCTGGACAAAAAAAAAAAACACCAAAAAATCATTTCAGCGTAGGTTTCTGCTTCTCGTTTTCTTCTTTCCTTTGCCACGACAGACGCCAGCTGGTTGTGGGCACAGGTCTTGTAGTATGTATAGACCTAGATTCTGATCCTGAAAGGAAAGAAATCTCAGGTAATCTCTATAGTCGCCATTTCTACTTCTATTAATTGGGAATAATAAGGTCTATTTTTCTGAGCAAGATTGTCAAAGCGTGGTCCCAGGACTAGCGCATCAGCATCACCTGAAATCACATTTTTCAGAAATGCAAATTCTCTGGTGCCATCTCAAAACAACTGAATCAAAAGCACAGTCGTTTTAACAAATTTTTAACAAACACCAGGTGGTTTGATATTACATGATTTGTCATTATTGTTGTTGTTAGGAGCCTTCAAGTTGATTACGTCTCATAGCAGACCCTATGCACAGCAGAACAAAACACTTCCTGTCCTGCATAATCCCTACACTTGTTATGTTTGAGCCTGTTGCTACTGTCCCAGTACCACTCTGTCTCGTTGGGGTTCTTCCTATTTTTCGCTGACCCTCCATTTTACCAAGCATGTTGTCCTTCTACCGGGACTGGTGCTTCCTGATAGCATGTCCGAAGTATGAGAGATGACATCTCAACATTTCATTTTTAAGGAACATTGTGGCTGTACTTCTTTCCAACAAAAATTTGTGTTTTC